CGGGTGAAGAAGGTTGAGAATCACTGCTGCAGAGTATTAAGGAGCGGAGATGTCACGTTGAGGATTAAGGTGCCCCTGGCCCAAGCCATGGTCTTTTCCATCCCCTCGTAAACATGTGAAAGCTAGACAATGAATAAGGACCAACCACAGAAGAACGGACCCTTTTGAATTGTGGTGCTAGCAAAGGGTCTTGAAAGGACCCTGCAGTGCCAGAAAAACAAACCAGTCTCCTTAGAAGATAGGATGGGGAGGCTTCAGCTCAGGTCCCTAGGACATGCTGTCAGGGGAGACCAGTTCCTGGAGATGGACATCATGCTTGATACAGTGGAGGGCCAGGGAAACAGAGGAAGCCCTTCAGTGAGACAGACTGACGTGTGGGCTGCAGCAGAGGGCTCAGACACAGCAATAATTGCGGGGATGGGGCGATTAGTTCTGTTGTTTCTAAGGTCGCCACGAGGCAGAACAACTTGACGGCACCTACCATCCAGAAGACAATCTCACTGGGGTTGGCTTTTGAAAGATTGTGTGGTTCCTGAGGTCAGGGCCGCTGACCCGTTTACGTTCTCCATACAGTGCTCGGCCTCGGCTGAGCCAGGGTGGGTGCTCTGAAACCACTCAATTGATTGCACATGGAACCCAGAGGGCAAAAGCTCCAGACTCTGGGCCAGAAAGAGCCCCAAGATCTCTCCGGCTCTGGAAAGGTATTCCGGAGGAGAGAAACAAGACTGCTGTGTTCAGCGTAGAAAGCAGTGAGGAGAAGACTTCCTCTCTCCCTCACCAGAGAAGAGCCCCTGCCACATCACTGGGTGACAACCTCATTTCCTTGGGGGAATTGGTTTATTTAAGCTCTGGCATATAAACAAATATGTTTACACGTATATAGACTTTTAAACCAAGGACTTCCATGGTCAGTCCCGAAGGGAACAGAGACTCAAGTTTACAAGTCCTTGGAGCTTTCGAGGCAGACCTGTGATTGGCAAGGTCAGCAGTGGTTCAAAACCACCAGCTGCTCTGCGGGAGAAAGACCAGGCTTTCTACTCCCATGAAGTTTCGCAATCTCAGAAACCCAAATAGAGAGTTCTACCTTGTCTGATAGGTTTTCAATGAGTCAGCACTGGCTCTATGGCAATGAATTTTGAGCGGTCCTTCTATTGGTGGGAACAGTAAGAGTGTGTGTGTGTGTTTTAGGAAAAAGAACTGATTTTATTTGTTAAGACTGAGGATGACTCTTGAACTCTTGTCTATTTGGAGCCACGCAAAGTAGAAGGAGTAAGCTTCTCAGGAAGAGAGGATACCGGCATGCACTGATCTGTTTGGGGATATCACATGAGAAGCTTGAATCAACCATGGTGGAAAGAGTTACACCATGGAAATTGGCAAGTGCTGTGAATCTATTTCATAGACCTCCTCCCTGCAGTGAGCCAGTTGTTCAATATTTGTCAGCATACCAGTGGAGCCAGTGATGGAAATGTCTAGTTCCTTGGAAAGACTGATTAGGGTAGTCAGTCACTTTTCATTCTCTCTCTCTCTTACCCCTGCACTGTAGGTAGCACAGTCTTTAAAAAGACTTATGAGATCCAGGTTTTAATCCTGTCTTCTACTATCAAACTATGTGACCTTAAAATGATCACTTACCCTCTCTGAACCTCCCTGCTCTTGCTTGTGATGTGAAATGATTGAACCAGTTAATCACTAGGCTTTCTTTCGGCTCTAATAGGCTTTGATCCCATGGTTTCAGCTTCTTTTTCAGCTCCTCCAGTGACCGGTAAGGCTGCAGTCTTGGCACAGGCTTAGCTCAAGTTAGCCTGAGAAATGAAGCCGGAAGCAAACACCTCACTGGTGAAACCCCCTCCTGGCTCTAGAATGTCCAGCACTGTAGAGGGACGTTTCTCTAAGCCCGAGCCCCTGGAATTGGCTGGCCAGCCTTTCTTTCACCTCTAAATTGTCAGCTATTCTAAAAGCAAATGCAATAAAAAAAAATATGGATGCTCGCTTTACTTTTCCTCAAATAGTGAGAGCTTGGAGTATGTGTTCCTTAGAAACAGCATAACTTAACCCAAAGAGGTTGGAGTTAGAAGTCATATGGGCTGTCCCGAACTCAAATTCCTACTCTTGCTTGTAGTTAATGTAGATGTAAGCAATTTCGTTAGTTTGGAGTGGATCTTTTCTTTCCATCTGTACAGCGGAGATGGTAGTCTTGCTCTATAGGGTCACTGTGAAGACTAAGTGAGATAGCCTGTACATTGCCCGGCACTGCCTTGAATGCACAACTACTGTTGAATGAGTGCTAGTCCCCTTCCCCATTCCAAATCCTTACTCTAGAGACCGTGCTCAAGGCAAGATCTTGGGACCCCAACTTTTCCAATTGATTCTTTATCCTCTCTAAGGCTACCCAGTTGCTTTGGGGGGAAGGGGCCCCCAGATCTTGGATCCATTGGATTGTAAAGAATCAGAAAACTCAACTCTTGAACCTCCCTTTGCAAAGGCTGGACCTGCATGCTACTGAAGGGCTGTGGGGTCAGGGTCTTTTTTCTCCGCGGTTCTGGTGCTACCTGCTGACACCCCTCTGACTTCACTGCCTCAGCCACCTGTCGGTCACCAGCCAGGCTTGTGTGTAGCTGTCACTGGAGCAGAGAACGGTGTCGGCTTCCTCTCCGCTCTGGCTCAGAGGCAAGCAGGAATCAGCAGTTTCCTCCTGACAACTCTGGGCTCTGGGAATCAGCCTGGACTCCCCCAGGCAATTAACACTTGCGATTCCCCTCTGCTATTCCTGATCCTTTGCCTCCCTGACAGCAGCTTCCAGTGCTGGGAAGAACTTTGGAGATTATCTAGCACACCCTCCTCATTTTATAAAAGGCAAGATTATGGCCCAGGGAGGGCATATTATTTTTATGTATATTCATAATTACAGCTGCCATTTGCTGATTTCTTCTGGTGTGCTAGGCACTGGGCTAAGCTTTTCATATAAATGTTCTATTTGATCCTCCTGGTCACCGTGGAAATAGGGTACTATTATCTCTATTTTAAGGATGAAGCCATTACACCTCAGACCATGTACCTAATTTGCCCAAAGTCACGCAGGTGGGAAGCAGTTATGTTGGTGTTAGATGCCATCACATCCTTGTCAATTCTTAGTGAGCCCACTGTGACAGAGTAGAATTGCCCACAGGGTTTTTCTGAAATGCCGTCTCTATAGGACTAGATTGCCTGGTCTTTCTCCCAAAGGGCGCTACGTGGATTCACACCATCAACCCTTCAGTTCAAAGCCAAGCACGTTACCACTGTGCCACCAGGGATCCTTGATAAGTGGTGGAACTGATTTCTCATACTAATCTGTCGGATGGTCAAGTCCAAAGTCCTCAAGGATGGTTTATCCTACTGGACATCAGTGACCCAGGCAGCAGCAGAGCCTGGGCAGGCTCGGTTTCTCATTGCAGGAAGACGGTCTTTGCTCCCATCAGCAGGCGGCCTCAGGGTGGGGGACCGAGAAGCTGCCATATGGGCCCCTCAGTCCCAGATTTTCCCAGACTGCAGATCCGCAGCCCACAGCTCTTTGCAGAGAAACCTGTTTTAGCACTTGTCACGCTGCCTAACAGCTAGCTAATGATTGTAAACCTAACATGCCAGTCATGGTGCGGTGCTAAGCTCTCCCTATTCTATCTGAGGTGCCCACCGGGAAGACACGAGCATGCCCATTTCTCAGATGAGAAATCTGAAAGGTTGGGACCTAAGACACTGTGAAGCTGGTATGTTAGACAAGTAGGGTGGGAACCCGGTCTCCGTCTCAGAAACCTAAACCCTTACACATGGCATTATGTCGAAAACTGTTTTTATATCCAAGGGAGCAAAGATACGTCTTTTTTATGTTTGCACCTCCAGCGCCTAGCTCGGTGCCTGGACTTGGAAGATCTATACTCCCTGCTTGCTGGACGAAAGGAGGAAAGGCTGGATGATGGATGGCTCGCGGAAGGGAGGGATGAAGAGGTAGGTGGACAGATGGCTCCTGAATGGATGGGTGATGGACCGGTGGATGGATGTGTCTATGATAGATGGATCACGGATCAACGATGGACAGAGAGATGGATCATTTCAAAGTCAGCATCCCGACCCTGGCGGGACAACACTGCTCCGTGTAAGTGTGAACTCGCGGCCCTCAGGCCTGGATCCTGAGCGTGCCTTTCCCTCCCGGGGCTCTCAGCACAGATTTCTGATTCTTCTTCTCTGGGTATCAGTCTACTAGTCAAGTTTGACTCCTTTCCCTTTCTCCCGACTCCCATAGCAAACTCCCTTCCCAGTCCCCTCATAAAGCCCAGGTGGCTTAGTGTTAGTGTAGTGGGCTGGGATCCACAAAGTCTGCGGTTGGAAACCACCAGTCGCTCTGCAGGAGACGAGACAGGGCTTTCTACCCCCGTTAACAGTTACAGGCTTAGACGCTCACAGGGCCAGTTCTCCGCGGTCCTACAGGGTTCTGTGTGTTGGTAGCCACTCCACGGCAGTGTGTTCGAGTTTTCCCAGTTTCGTACTCCCTTCTCTATGCCCCTAATGTCCTGCAAGCACAAGATCTGGTCCCCTGCCTGACCTGGCCTCCTCCCTGTTTCTTGCAGGGCCCCTGAGGCAGCTGCAGAGGCCTCCTGGCTCCTCCTCCAGCACTCCACACAAGCCGCTAGGGCTTCGTTTGCCAGCCACCTGCTGGCTCACTTTCCTTCCTTTCCAAGTCCTGGCTCAAAGGCCACTTTCTCAGCGTGCCATACCACCTCTGCCACTGCCTCTCATCCTTGCCTGCTCTAGCTCCGTTTCCCCCAGCAAAGATCACCACCGGGTACACGATGGGTTTTCTGTACCGTTCTTTGTCTTCTGTCACTAGTATGTGGCCCCACGAGGGCGGGGATCTCTGTTCGGTTCTCTGCTGAAGTCTGCAGTGTTTCGGGACCTGCCTGATTCAGCATTGACATTTTATATAAATAAGAACCCGGACAGTGCAGTGGTCACACATTGGGTTGCTAACTGCAAGACTGGCAGTTCAAAACCACCAGCGGCTCCGAGGGAGAAAGATGAGACTTTCTACTGTGGTAAAGAGTTATCGTTTCAGGAACTCACAGGGGGCAGTTCTACCCTGTCCTACAAGGTCACTATGAGTTGGTATCGACTCGATGCCAGGGAGGTTTTATGTGTTTGTTTTTGTATCTGTACGTGTGTGTAGGTTAAAGACACCCGTTGGTCAATGGACAGACAGCGCTCTGACCATGTGAGTGTCTGGTCTAATACTCTGCTCACTGGTAATATGCACCTGGACATCTTAGAAGCCTGGGAACCGGGTGGGCAGAGGGGGGCGCAGGAAGGCTGATCCTGGACCGCAGCCCAAGAGCAGAGCGAGCTGAGCACCCTTACCGCCTTGGTGCACTGCACATCCTTCCCCAGCAGCCAGTTGAGCTCCAGGTTTCCCTCCCCCTGGTAGCAAGACTGAAGCCGATCCTTGATCTGCCGGTTGATGGCTCGGATGGGGAAGGCACAGAGGGCAGAGTCGTCAGGCGGGTGGTGATACTGCTTCTGCCCTTTGGAGAAGATGGCGAAAAGCACATCGTCCTGTGCGCTGAGGTTGAAAGCCCGTGCCAGCGAGGCCCCGGGCTTGGCGAGGTAAGCGGCCTGCAGGAGACGATACTCCACGCTGGCCCGCGTGCAGCCGAACGGCAGGGACACGTACGAGTGGAACTTGGGGTCGTCCTTGCACAGACGCACGATGCGCGAGGTGTAGAAGAGGTCTCCGGCTGAGTTGATGGCCATGCCCTCGGGGGTCTCGGGCTGGACGGTGAGGAAGTAGACGAAGCTCCCGCTGGCAAAGCCGTAGATGTAGAAGATGTCGAAGTGGGTGACCAGGGCCAGGGTGTCCGAAGGGATCTTGATAAGGGAGGAGACGAAATCGCTGTGCAGCTCGTAGTCCAGCATGGCGGAGGACTCGGGGTCCCGGGGCAGCTTCCTGCTGGACAGGGTGGGGAAGTAGTCCTGCTTTCCGTCCACGGCGGTGCCGATGAAGAGCTTGCCGTCCTCCCCCTGGGAGCGCACGATCACCCCGTACATGGTGCCCGTCCTGTTGACGCTGGACAGGTAGTGCTCCTTCTTGTGGGACGGCTCCACCAGGATGAAGAGGTCGTCCAGCCGCAGCAGCTTGCAAACGCCCTGGTAGAGGCTCCCGCAGGCCAGCAGGCGGTTCTCGGAGTAGTCGATGAGCAGCAGCTTGTTGACGTTGTTGGTGAGCGTGAGCACCTCGCTGCACGGCTGCACGATGAGGGGCGGGTAGCAAGACTTGTTGTCCTCCTCCGGCCCTGTCTTGTGGGCCACCTGGATGGTCAGGTTGCCCGTCAGCTTGTACACCCTGTTGATGGCCCCCACGTACACAGCCCCCGTGCCCCGGTGGACAGTCAAGTGGTTGAAGGTCCAGTCGCGGTTCTCAGAGCGGAAGGTGCTGAATTGAGGCATGCCAGCTGCTGGGGGGGCCAGCAGCACCCAGACCACGGAAAGCAAGACCACTGAGGAGCGGTGAACGTTGGGGGCCTGTGGCCAGGACCTCCTCTGTTCCATTCTGAGTGGGGCGAGGATGAGGAGACTGGTCCTCCGAGCTCTCATCGAAGTCTGCCGTCCCAGGCGGGGCCTCACATGGTTCTGGAAAAGACAAGGCAGGGTGGTCAGAGGGGAAACCCGTTCTCATTCTCAGAGGAAGGAAAAGGCTGGTCTGACCCCTGGGTCCCATCCCGACTAGCTCTGGGGATCTCTCCCTCCAGTGTCTCGGTGTTGCTATTTTAAACACACTTTCTCCCTCTTAGGGATGCTCAGGGAATCCTATTATCTACTTTGGTCTCCAGCCTTTATGCCGTAAAATACTTCTTTTTTTAACTTTATGAAGCATCTCTATTTCTGTCCTCTGAAGACATGGTTTTCATCTCCCAGAGAGGTCAGAGGATATACTGAGTTCGCCAGGCGTTTCCTGCCTGGTGACAGGTCCAAAGGCAGAGCTTGCCCAGACAAGCCTCCAGGCGGGGGACTCCCAGCAGACTGGAAATCGCTCCTGGCTTTGAATGGCTTGTTAGAAAGGCAGCCCCCGGGCACTCTGACCCAACTACCCCCAGGACTTGCTATCACAAGGACAGGTCCTGCCCTCATCTTGCAAACGTCCCTCCCTTGCAAGGCTGTGTGTGATTCCTGATTTTCTCTGGCTTGGTCCCCAGTGGGGAGGGAGCAGGTAGGGAGCAGCTGATGGCCATGACCCACCCACCTCTTCAGACAGAGGAGTCCCTGATCTGCGGTGGTTGGAGCTGTTGAGGAACAGCTAGGGTAGCCCCACTTGCGGCCTTCAGGAGCTGGCAGAGCACCCCCCCACTCCCGAGATGGGCAGACAATGCACTGTTTAGGACAGGAAGACACCTGCCCATACCCACCTCAGTGAGCCAGGCTGGCAGACCCTGGGAAAACAGCTTCAACCTCGGCTTCTGTGGTCAGGAAGCACACAGGGAGCCGGGCTTCTGGTCACCTGGACACAGTGGCAGGGTCCAGTGACAGTCAAAGGGGCAAGAGCTATGCGTGTGGTGAAATGTGGAAAGCACAAGGGGAAGTACACTGAGGGGGAGTCTCGGTCTGGCCACTTCTTGGGTCCCATGATTGCTTACTCAGCCCTGCCACGGCTGGAGTCCGGGCTCCTTCCCCTCTCCCCACTCATGGGCCGAGGCTTTTCCACCCACAGGACCTGTTGTTCATGCTTCCATGTTCTGAGGAAGCTGCCCAGAGAAGCAGGCTCAGACTCTGGAGGGGAGCTTCTACAAAGCCCTGAGTTGGGAGGCAGGTGGAGGACCTGTGGTCCTGTTTCTATCATAGTGCAGTTCCTGGAGGCCCTGTGGTCCTGTCTCTATCATAGTACAGCTCCTGGAGGACCTGTGGTCCTGTCTCTATCATAGTACAGCTCCTGGAGGACCTGTGGTCCTGTCTCTATCATAGTACAGCTCCTGTAGGGCCTCTGGTCCTGTCTCTATCATAGTACAGCTCCTGTAGGGCCTCTGGTCCTGTCTCTATCATAGTGCATCTCCTGGAGGGCCTGTGGTCTTATCTCTATCATAGTACAGCTTCTGGGGGGCCTCTGGTCCTGTCTCTATCATAGTGCAGCTCCCGGAGGGCCTGTAGTCTTGTCTCTATCATAGT